GGGGGGGGGGGGTTCCCGGGGTCCGGGCAGCTTTAGGTGAGGACTCTTTTTTTAGAAATGTGATATGGAGGTTAATTTTTTATAAAATTGTTGGGGCCTGACCTGGAAAATTGTCTCGGGACCCGACCTGGCTCTCGGCGGCCCTGGGCAAATATGTCCAAATCAAGAAACAAACTGAACTGCTGTCAATCCAGACATGGTTGAAAAGGGCGCAAAGTAGAGGAGAGACGGGATGAATAATTTTATTATTCATAGGTTATTTGCTTACAAATAAAAAAATTTGAAATTATTCATTTTTTTCACTAATTTCCTTACATCCTGTTATTCCCCATTTGAGCTTTTGAAAATGTCCATGGAATGTCCTTAAATGGACGTTCTAAAGACATCCTGATTATTAACAATGGGCGTTCCAAAGACATCCATAAGACGTCCACGTCCGTTAAAATGACGTTGTAAGGATGTCCTGAATGTCCAAGCAGGACGTTTTTAGAACAATAATAATAATAATAATAATAATAATAATAATAATAATAATAATAATAATAATAATAATAATAATAATAATAATAATAATAATAATAATAATAATAATAATAATAATAATAATAATAATAATAATAATAATAATAATAATAATAATAATAATAATAATAATAATAATAATAATAATAATAATAATAATAATAATAATAATAATAATAATAATAATAATAATAATAATAATAATAATAATAATAATAATAATAATAATAATAATAATAATAATAATAATAATAATAATAATAATAATAATAATAATAATAATAATAATAATAATAATAATAATAATAATAATAATTTATTCATTAAAATAGTACATATAAACACATTTGATACAGAAAAAAAAAGATAAATGAATAAATTGGCTCACGTTAAGTGACTTAACACTTGTTACGCAATTTTGAGTAGATATACTGTAATACATGCCGTACATAATATACATATAAAAATACTAATACTAATACTAATACTAATACTAATACTAATACTAATACTAATACTAATACTAATACTAATAATACTAATAATACTAATAATACTAATACTAATAATACTAATAATACTAATAATAATAATAATAATAATAATAATAATAATAATAATAATAATAATAATAATAAATACTAAAAAAATAATAATAAGGAAAGAGAAATGAATCATACCATCGAATTGTCTGATATAAATATTACTTGATACATTATAATACGAAAACATACATAAATAGTGAGTACTTTTTAGGTTTTATTTTCTATTAGATCTGAAATATATTTCCTTGGGTTATTGAAAGTAAATATTTTTAAATATTTCTTGAACAAATGGAAAGTAACCTTGGATTGCACTTCCTCTGGTAAGTGATTATACATCTTAGGCCCTAGATATGAAAAAGACCTTTGAGTTAAAGATCTTTCCACCAAGGGTACAACATGGTTTAATCTATTCCGGGTTAGGTAAGAATGAGATGGTATTGTAGCTGTGAGTCTAGTTGGGTAATATTTTAGATTGGTGGAAACAAAGTACATTTGTCTTATGTCTAATATTTTGCTTTCTTCGTAAAGTATATCGGATGAGTATCTAAAATTTTTGTTTATTATTAATTTCAAAAATCTGCGTTGTATTATTTCTATGTTATTAATGTGACTATGCAGAGCACTACCCCATGCTACAATACCATAACGTATATGACTTTCTACAAGAGAATAGTATAAAGTTCGAAGTTGTTCTAGGGGTAAATGTTTTTTTAAAAATTTAAATTTATAGAGAATAATTTGTAGCTTTTTAACTGTATAATTTATGTGACAATCCCATTTTAAATGTCTATCAATATATACGCCAAGATACTTATATTCTTTTTCGGATAAAATATTATACACTTTTCCATTGCTAGTGATCTTTAAACTTTGAAATTCTGGTAATCCACTTGCATTGCAACTGATGGGTAAGTATTTTGTTTTTTCTAGATTTAGCGTCAGTAATTTTGAGTCTAAGAATTGTTTAATAGAAGCGAAATCATTTTCAGCAACTGTTTTTAGAGTATTCCAGTCTTGTCCCTCATAAAATATTACTTTTCTTCTTTCTGTGAGTACTATGCAATCTACGGGCTTCTCCATATTGTTCAAGAGTATTTTAAATTCATCGAGATTTTTATTGATACTGCGTATATTATTGTGAATTATTGTAAAATTTTTATTGTTTTCATTTATTTTTAATACCTCCTTACATTGAAATATATCATCTAGTTCAAAAGTTTCTATTTCTGGGATATCAAATTCTCTTATGTATTGATCCATTATTTAATAGTTTTAATTTTAAGTAAACTACTTTAATTTACGACACAAACAATTTAAAATAAGTTCTAATATAAAAGGTTTTTAATATATATCTAAGAAATATGTAAGTAAAACAGATTTTGAATAAAAGAGTTCAATAAAAGAATGTTAAAAATAAAATTAAAATTTCAGTATTAAAATATTATTTTGATGATGAGGTTTTTCGACTTTGGAGGCGGGTATTCGTTTTATTAGGAACAGACTCTTTTGGTGGAATTTTTTCTTGTGCTGGAATTTTTGTTATTTTTCCTGTCGGCGATGGGGATGTTGGCGCACTGCTACTCAGATTGGGTGTGTTGTTCTGACTTACTAGATCTTCTACACTATATGGATTGTTATTTACATAAAGCGTATTTCCCTTAATGTAGCAATCCTTATTTTCTTGTCTGGCAAGGATGAGGTGTTTTCTTAAGATTTTCGATTCTTCTCTCTGTTGTAGTGTTTGATCGTTAGATATTGAGATATTTTTTCCTTTCAGTTTAGCGCAGTTGTTTAATATTTCCCTTTTTTTCCAATAAGTACAAAATTCTACTTTTAGAGGACTGTTTGTTTCTTTCCCAAGTTGATAAAAATTATTTAATTCCAGAGGTTGTATTTTTACTTTAATTAAATTTTCAAGGTCTAAACATACAGATTCAGCTGTTGGCTTTTTGTTAAGGTTTAAACCAAATATTATTATTGAATTTTGTTTATTTTCTCGTTTAAGATCTTCTACTTCTACCTTAAGGGTTTGATTTTCCCTCTCTAGTTCTCTTATTTTGTTGTTTTGTTCCTCTATTTTCAATAGCAATCTAGTTTCTGTTGCTTCTAGTAGTAATTTATTTTCGGTCCTGCTTTTTACAATTTCTTCATATATAATATTCAACGTCTATACGACGTATTTGTGCTCTCTGGGTTTCTGTTTTTGACTTTTAAAGGTCATCCACCAACAAACATATTTGTAACTGTATATATAAAATTGGCTTTAAATCAAATTTTTAATATTGTTGTGATATATATTAATTTATTTTGTAAGCCGGTTTGTTTGGGCCACGGTGTAATTCTTAATATACCTAAAAAGATGCCTCTTATATAAAATGTGTGTTCCTGAAGAACTGGAAACTATATCATCCGTAAACATTATAAAACTGATGGATGATCATTTTAAACTGGTAGTGTCAGTGTTCGCAAAAATTTTTTGATTCGCGATAAGTGTCCAGCGAGTCTCCTAAAGTCTTCAAGGTTTAGTGACAGCATGTAATTTTTCTGGGAAAGAAGAAATAGAATAAGCGCCGGTAGACCACATACTTTGATTACAAATCAAAGTATGTGCGGTAGACCCTCCGAGCAATTACTACGCTCGGAGGGTAGACCGATTTTTGGTTATGACATTGGTGCAGTGAAAGATCGACTTTTCGAAGAAAAATCTACAGTGTGTTTTTCAAAAGTAGTGGAAATCGCGGCTTCGAAATCTGTTAGTCACCCATATTGTCCAGGAACAGTTAAGCGCGAGCCAGAAACCTGCTTCGCAAACTCCAGGCGAACGGGGCAGGCTCAGCAACATTTGGATCACGGAATCACAGCAGCAACACTGATAGCAGAGCTGTTCCATCTCTGTCTAATTCAAGTACCACGTCACAAGGTAAATGCGCATGCTGTGGACGCAGAAATCACTCAACTGACAATTGTTGTTTTCGTAAGTGTTTCTGTCTCAACTGCAAACGCAAAGGACATTTCGCTACTGGTTGTACAAGTAAGAATCAACATGTAAACAAATCTAACAAAAACAATGCTAGAAAAAATTTTTTGGAAGATGAAGAATTTTCTATTTTTAATATTCACTTCAATACTGATCCTGTTTGGGTTGATTTGTTTATAGAAAATAATTCATTTACTTTTAATTTAGATACAGGGGCGAGTTATAGTGTTATATCGGAATTTTTTTTTTAAATAATTTTTCTGACAAACCATTATTGACAACAGAAAAAAAATTAATTTGTATAATAGGGATAAAATTGTTATCAAGTTTGTTTATTTTAGTCTAAGTATCAACCGATGCCGATGGTCAAGATTCAGTCAAGATCACATACTTTGATTACTATATGAGGTAAGAGAGAGGTCCGACACGCCCAACATAGGGCGCGGCCGTTTTGAACCCTGTGACACAGTTTACAGCTAAAGAATCAGATCGCTCACTCTGCGTCGGCACTTTTGATCTCAATGTTTCAGTTTATACACTGTGCAACTCGGATAATACAATATATGACAACCGCCAATAATAAAACAGCAGTCTTCTGCGTATCCTGAATTTGTATCCCTGGAGTGGATGTTATTTTGAAACTTTCAACTGGTCCGAGTGAGCTAACTGATTCTTTAGCAATAAACTGTGACTTCAAAAATAATATTCACTGATACTGACAGCAGCAAGCAAAATATCAGGTGTCGTTTTAACCTGTCAGATTAAAACAAGAAAACCGACAATTCCGAAGCAGAAGCGGATGATTAAAACGCACCTATTAAAAATATTGCGCCAAGCTGTAGGCAACACGTAATAAGGGTTCAAAATGGCGGAGTTTTCTATCTCCTTTTAAAAGGTACTCAGAAAGCTGCGCAGTGCGACCATTCTCCGTATAGTAAAAGAAAATCAAAGTATGTGGTCAAGACACGTGGTCAAGATCCAATCTGACACACAACTCGAATATGTCACAAGCCTAAACCAATGTCAGAACTGCTAATTTTTTTCATTTTGACAGATTATATTGAGAAGCAGAATTTGATTCAATACAACTTGTTATCGCATAATTGCAGTTTCTGTTTCAATAAATAACAATGTCGAGACAATTTCTGAAAGCCAATCCACAAATTGAAGCCGACAGAAGACTTTTGCAATACCAATGTTACGAAAATTATTTAGATTCTCTAGTTACACACCAAGACGAATGTTTTCTACAGAGCATTGAAGTTAGTAGAACAATTGCTGAACTAGGTAAACATCATTTATTTCCTCTGGAGAGCAAATGATTATTTTTTATTTAATCTCCATATAAGTAGTTGAACCTAAACCACAATCAGTACGAAAAAGTGTTAATCGTTTATACCGAAATTCATTAATATCATTCTTCTTCTGTCTCTGTATTACTTTTACCTTCTTCAAGCTCTTTTTAAAATTGTTTCTTGCCTTCTTGCAAGTTGATTTTGCTGATTAATTTCGCCTTGATTATTACTGCTTTCTCTATTTAGGCTACTCTTGTTTTGTATTTCTTCTGTAATATCCAATTTTCAAAGGTTATCCACAATAGATCTAAAAAGGTTATAGTCCATCTAATTCAAAGACTAACAATTTTTTAAGGTTACAGAAGTTCGGGTGAAACGTTGAGCAAGAGTCAGTTCGAGAAAAGATTAGCAGCAGTTCTGAACTACCTTTATCCACCCTACAAACCTTATGAACTGTCCAGCGATGGTATGATAGGTGAAGATCCCGTGCAACTAGATTTGGCACTCAGAGAAAGACCCAACAGAGTAGGAATTGTGTCAACTATCATTTTCCTGAAATATATGACTAAATCTGGATTTGAGATTTCTGGATACATCGATTATGCCGAAAAGTTAGCTAATGAAGATTGGAAACCATTTTTTAGAGGTTTGTTTTGTATTAACTAGAGTCTAGAGAAGAAAGGAGTGCAGTTATTTAATTTACAGAACGTAGTACAAATTCAAGAGGTAGACATTTTATTTATAACTCATCCTTCAATGCTTATTTGTAGTTCAAATGAAAATTTTAATACATCTGATTGGCCTAATAAAAATTTTCGTTTAGTATTAATCATATTGCCATGGTTTTTACTGTAAGAAATATTTTCTTTTGACAGATAAGTCAGACTTTATTCTTAGCAGTAGCATATATATTTTTTCTACACCCGTATTATAATAATGCACTTATATGCCCATAATCCGTTTCATAATGATACCCATTATGATACAGATTTTTCATTACGATACAGATTTTTAATCAATAGAAACCTACAATTTTTCAATCAAGCATGCTGTTTGACGTTTGTCCTAGGTTCCTATGTAATTATTTTAGTTGTCAAAACGTATTAAATTTTCGTAGGTAGCTAAACTTCGATAATTATAATATTAAAATGTCTGATATTAGCGATATAGAAGACTCCTCCACACATATCGGAGAAAGCAGAAAATACAGTACAAAATATTTTACCGCAAAAATCTAGGGAAATACCAATACCTGAAGTAATACCATTAATTACAATTTTGTAGAATTTTTTATAGAAATACGAGTAATTACTGTTATTGTGTTCAATACCAATATAAATATAATATTTATAGGTCTTGATTATTTATCGGGTGTAGAAAAAATAGCGTATGCAACTCTCATGTAATGGTTATTAAAACACTCGCATAAACCATACGAAACTCGCCTTTGGCTCGTTTCGTATCCCGGTTAATGCTCGTGTATTAATAACCATCATTACATGATCGTTGCATAATATACTATTAATTGATTTGGAATTTTGTATTAGTATATATTATAAGTTTAGAGTTATATAAGAATGGCGAGGGCATTAGAAAATATTGCATGCACAAGTACACGTAAACGACCTAAAGCATTATCTTAAGAATAAAAAATAGCGTACTTAATGTATTTAATAATCTTTGAAAAGACTTTGTTTCACTTTCTATGGATGAAATAGCCACTAAATGTGAGACCTATGCTAGAGTATCTAAGCGGACAATGTATAATATTATTAAAGAAGATACAGCTGTTGGAGAAGTCTCACATCCTAAAAAGCCCCAAGGAAAAAACAAGACCTCTATTGAAACTTGGGTAAAGAATGTAAGGCAAATTTTGTTCGAAATATAATTGTTACACTTAAAAAATTACACTCATAAATAGAAAATAGCCCAACTCTTCCAAATATATCATATTTTCATCTGCAGTGGTTAAAACTTGCAGCACTGGTTGAACTACCACTAAAATTGCAAAAAACACCGTGACAGGTCATTTTTTCCAAAAATTCACCCCTTGGGAGGGGTGTTTCTGGTATGTGGGGGATGTCACAAAAATTTTTCAGTCTCGACGCCTGTTTGCCTTCTTACGACGCAGAATTAAATCCCATTGGACTGATCTGGCCACAATTAAAAGGTTATGTTTCTCGAAACAATACAACATTTAAATTACCTGATGTGCGAAATTTGTTTTTGAAGGCGATTTCAGATGTAAATGGAGAACATTGGAGAATATTTATTGATTATGTTAAAAAGGTGAAAAATTCATAAAATTCATTTTGAAAAGTGAATATAGCCATGGAAAACTTAATAGACCCTATAATAATAAACCTCAAATACAATGATTTGATACCAGTAGTTATAGTAAAGACAGTGACTTTTCAAGACAGTGTTTGAAATTTGAATTTTTTTTATCTTTGATTTTAGGTACTAAAGAGTTACTTGTAATGCAAAGAGATTAAAAACAGTTTAGTCCCATTAACAACATATAATCCTTTTTGTTATTTATTGGTTAAATTTAATTCGATTAATGTTAAAGGGCAACAATTTAGTCAGAGACATAAGGTTTATTTTTATTTTTTGTAAGTAATATAATTTTTTTCATTCAAAATTTATTCTACGAAGTGCGTATATACCATTTTATAGGAAGTGATCTTCTTTATATTATAGAAACTCCTCTTTTATTCAGAATATAACTCACCATAATAACGATTAGCTACTTTGGAGATATATGGAAGTCGTATATTAAAATATCTCTTTTAGAAAAGATTTGTTAATTTTTAGGTAAAAAAAGAATAGTCCCGAAACCCAACGATATGGGATACTACCATTGGAAATCTGGCAGAGTCGTTTGCAACGATTCTTTAAATTACAAAGTACAGCAAGATCCACGAAAAGGGCTGATTTTCCAAAACAGATTCGATAGAAAAATGATCAACCCCGCGCCGGGGTCCGAACCAGGGCCGAACTCGACTCGAAAACGAATTTACACGGATATGTACGATCTTGTTATTATATTTGATCATTTTGTCAGGCAGAGAATATAAAACTCTTTTATTTAACATGTTGTATTTTGTTGTGAAAATAAAAAAATGGAGGGAAATGGAATAGTCATATAGAGTAATATAAAATAGGTTAATATACGCAAAATATCTTAATACTTAAATACTTTATCATTCGCTCCCCATTCTTTTTGTTTTTTCGCCATAGTGTCATAATTTTTGTAGAGTACAAATTAAAATAACTTTTTACTCAGTGGGTAGTAAGGCGAAAAATATGGAATATTCCATATTACCCGCTCCATAAAATTTAAACAAAACTAGTGCTCGATATTCCCCGAGTATTCCAAATATATCGACTTTGCTTCAAAAAACATTTTTAAATATTAAAAGAAGTTTAAAAAATGAACTAGTTTTATATCGCAATAAATCACAATGAAACATTATCCGCTGATATCAAATACCCTTTCAAACGCGCTTTGCATTACATAACAGTAAACCATATACCACTCTACTACTTTTTCTTTTCTACACAGTAGGTATATATAAATAACCGAAGCCCTAAATTCATTATATTACAACAGTTTTGTTATAGATAAGAATCACGAACCATGTACAAGTACTTAATCCTTTGCGCTTTGATCGCAGTGTGCAGTGCAAAACCCGGCAACATCGGAATCGGTCTAGGAGGACACGGCTACGCCGCAATAGCTGCACCGGCCGTAGCTGTAGCTCCTGTATCCATTAATTCCGGTATAAGCACCCAATCGAGAGTGGATTACCGTACTCCAGTTGTAGCGGGAGTACATACAGCTCCCGTAGCTGTAGCTGCTGCTCCGGTAGCTGTAGCTGCGCCAAGTTACGCCATTGGAGTATCAAGTGGAGGAATTGGAGGTGGTTATGGAGGAATTGGAGGGGGTTATGGAGGAGTTGGTTTAAGAGGAATTGGATCGGGAGGTATTGGATTGGGGGGTATTGGAGGAGGTGGGATTGGGTTGGGACTTGGTTATGGTTATGGACATTAAATTGTTTGATGTTGTAATTATTTTTGGAAAAGATGTAATTATGGAAATATATTATTAATAGGAATTTGTTTTTATTTTGATCGACTTTTTTTATTTTTGAACAGAAATTATTTATTGTTGTTTAATCCTATTTGACGGGTATACTTATGACGTGAACATTAAGAATAATTATTTATTACGTTTGCCTTACGATTCGTATTAAAAAGGGAAGCGGTTAAAGATATTTAAACAATTTGAATAAATGCACATTTCAGTGGTCGCTTATCTGTAAGGGCTATTTGGCTATAGCCCCCTAGTGCAAGGGGAAATCAATATATCTAAGTATTGTAACGTGATACTTGATATTTTATCTATTTGTTATAATGTGTTTAAGCTCAATTGATTTTGGGCATGGGTTAGGTTATTAAATAACTCGAATAACTTTGAAAAAGAAGTTGGGCACCACTATATTTAAAACTTACTATACTTGACTTTAGATTAGTTATAAAAATATAGAAAATCACTAACCAATTACAAATTATATTTAAACCAAGTTTTAGATGAGGTAGTAGCAAATTTTAATTCACATAGTTTTACTAAATTCAAATTTAAGATGATTTATCTAAAAACACTTATCTTTTATTAACAGGAGGTAGTAATATTAGGAATTTTTATCGCATGGTATATCTTCAGGTATCTTCAAAGGGATTCGGTATCCTTATTCTTAATTCTGGAACTTGAATGATATTGTGAAATTTGGTATTCTAACTTAATTGGAAACGTGTAGATCTTCTCTAGATAAACCAAACAACGGTCTTCAGATTGTACTAAACTTCTAGGTATAAAAATTATGAAACTTCTAGATAGGAATTTAAAACGTCTAGATATAAATCCAAATAAACTGTCTTAAAAGGAATTCAAACCTTCTAGATATAAATACACATAAACTCTCTAGATATAAATCGAAATAAACCGTCTAGATATAGATCCAAATAAACCGTCTACATATAGCCATGCTAAAAAAAAAGGTTAAAATGTTAAGACAGGACATAGGAAATTGGAACAGGATTTAGATAAAATGCTTTAATTATTAAATGAACAATTTAAAACTATTAAATGACTAATTTCACAGAGACTAAAATTAATATGAAAAGGAAAAATCTTATTTTACATATTTAAAAATAGTAAAGCATAATGTCTTATTCCAAACAAAATAATTTATAAATTTTATATAAAAACAATGTGTTACCCATTGTTGAGGTTACGTTCAAAATTTGACATTTTATTTAAGAAATTCTTGTACAAAATATATATTTTCAACAATATATCAGTATTAAAACTTACTTTATAAATCAGATGGAATTTACGATAGATAAAAATTATTTAGTAAATCGGATGACCAAGATATATTAAAAATCAAATCAACTTGATTCGTTGACAAATTCAAATCAAATGAAATACGAACTTTTGACACAAGGCATAAACGACAAATGACATTTAAGTAGAGGTGATTATGTTGAAATAACGAATAACGGTTCCAACCGTTACAGTATAAATATAAAAACAAAATATACTATGTTATATCTATCAATACAATTTTTAATAAATATATTCCACGTGTACTTATACCTTTCATACGGCTCCTTTTGTTTCGATTGTTTCAGTTTTGATCTGTCGCTCAATATATTTTCCGTTACTCATGATCACTGACATTCCTGGCTGGCTGGGTGCAAACAAGTAAGGGCTAAAACTTGCGTAGTCCTCAATGGCTTTCGGACGGCAGATCTAGCGACGTCAGTCGCACTCGGAAATACCTAATTTTTATGTAGAACAAGGATACGAAAATGTACGCCTATTCTAGACACTACTTAGGAAATACAACATACATTGGTGTATGTATAAATTTTGTAGCGACAAAAGATTTGTAAATTCGAGAAAATTCTTAATGCGTTTATCAGCAGTTTCTGTTTTAAAAGACAGCATTCTTTGAATGAAACATAACTCTTATTTTCTCCCTTTTGTATTTTAATAGAAATATTTAATATTTAATAATATTTAATATATACTTTACAAAGAAAGTCAGGGTATCTGCTTTCTTTTATAATTCTTGCACCTTAATTTATAGTTTTTCTTGTAGTTCTTGGGTTTCCAGATGCTTGTAGAACAAATAAAAATCGTATGTGTGGTTAAAGCGTTCGGCACTGATCAGTGCCTTCTTCATTAGTTTTTATTAAGCAATTTTTTTTCTTTAATTAAAACATTATGTTGTGTGAATGTTAACGTTAGGTATACAAATTCTACAAAAAAATGTTTAACATTGGTTTAGACTTGATATTGTATTTTGTTTTATATCTTACCTTTGATACAGAATTAGGGGGTGTCATTAAAATAAATTAAAACATTTTTTTATTATTTCTATTAAAATTGTTAGACGATGTCAAAACAATCAAATATGTATAACTACCTGCAGGGTGTTTTGATATAAAAATGTATAATTTTGGTCAAGCCCTCGTTTATGGACCACCCTGTATATCTAAGAATATTTATTAAGCATAGTAACAGAGACAATCCAGCGAGACGTGTAACTCAATGTATTTTTTTTGTTCGGTAAAAGTTATTTGGGCGATTGTAACCACAACCAGTCTATGATGGCGCCACTAGTAAATAGCGGGAAAATTAAAAATGCTTTAGGGCGGGAAATTCAAACATGGATTCATAAATAAATAGTTTTTCTATACAAATTTACAGGAGAAACAAAAACTATTGTTTCACTGTATATTAAAAAAATATAAAAGCATCAAATTTTTTATCACATAAATAATCATTTTAATAAAGGAAGTTTTAATCAGTTTAATATAAACAGTAAACATAGTTTTTATTACTCTTGTAAATTTCGCTAAAAAAAAACTTGAAAATTCTATTGATTATTAAATATTTAAACTTGGAAAAATAATACACCAAACTCTTTTTCTATACATTATATTTTTGTAAGGTACCTCGTATCATTTTGTGACAAATTACAAAGAAAGTAACAGTTGTTATATATTCATAATATATTTAAAAACTAATGTAACAAATATTTTATAAAGTATAGTATCGATACCTTTTTGCCAGACTATCATAAGTGCCATTTGAACAAATGTCACTTATGTTAGTCTGGCAAAAAGGTATGGATATGTTATGACTGTTTATTTTAATAGAAACCATGGAAACGAAACACACATACACTCAACACAAATGTATAAGGCCCGAGTCAAGTAAGTTCCCATCCTGTAAACTGGATCGAAACCTGCTAGGCCCCTGCTAACTCCTCTTATAGTAATCAAGATCAATAGATTTATATGCCATGCCTTCTAAAAGGGAATGAAGGATGACATACTATCATCATTTAAACAGGACGTTGCTGAAGGCTTACCCCTGTTATTTCGTTTGTTTGTGTATCTTGTGTGTGCATTCCTGTTGTGTCCCCAGTCATGTAAAAGTTTTCCTAGTCTCCTAATTTGGTTACTAGGTGGACCTTCTCCAACTAGTAGTCTAATCTATTTGATCTGTTCAGAAGCAGGAGGTACTTTTCAAACATAGCAAATAATATTATTAATAATAAACACTATTTAAAGATAAATACATTTTTGTAATTGCCCCTTACCTTTCTCTTACACCACCAGGGTATACCTATTTTCCATATTCCCTTAATTATAGATTATCTTACAATGTTCGAATGAATATACATGAAAAATCTAATTTCATATTTAACTCTTTTTCAATTTCATTTGAAACAATAATTGGTACCTATATTACAATTTATTATCAAAGAAAATTTCTAATAAAGTTATAGCAAATCCTACTTAAACTACTGGTTGTTCTGCAGGATAAATTAACTTTTCTTGAGATTGATCTCTCTATAAAATCCAAAACCGACCTGATGTCCCCAAATTTATTTTCCAATGCATCCCGATTGTGATTGTGATTCAATTTTTTTTCTTCCTTTAGAGTGGCTGTTAGAGGTAGGTGTATGTAAGAAATAGCTAATCTCTAATCATTTCAAAAGTCCTTTGCCAATACTACATGTGCAGATTTTTTACTCAGCATACATTT